AATTTGATATGCGGTTTTCGCAAATGTGGGATATTTCCTTTGAATGTTGAGGAAGTTTTAATCCGTATATCTCGAAGTTCAAACAACACAAATATTGTAGAATCCGAATTTCTTCAAATACTTGAAACACGAAGATATTTGTCCATTAAAACTACAAAGAATCGCAGAAAGAAAATCATCATTCCTCCTAGAAAAAGTGTGTGCGTTGATAAATCAATTGAGGAACCTACGACCTCCACTACAGCAAATGACCAGCAGCTGCCAGAATCTTCTGCTTTTAGGGGAGAGGACACACTTAGTTTAAATGCTGATTCATCGGACGATCTTAACTTCGATGAAATTGAAAAAGAGCAAGAGAATGAAAGAGAATTCATAAATTTTGTAGAAGATAAATACTATCAAACAAATGATTTCCATTTTGATAAGGTAGTAAGAGACGTTGGATATTTTGTAGTCTTTTCTTTCGAAGGACACGTCTAACCTGGACAAATTGTTTCCTTTAACACTGATAAAGTTACAATGAATACAATGCTAAAAATGTGGAAGTGGCCTCCAAAGAAAGATCAACTTACATACTCTTGGTACGATGCGATGTTCTTAGATCTATTAAACCTCCCAAACAAGTAACAAAGTGTCTTTTCTGTGCCTGAACTGGCTTGTTCGTAGAGTGACTAAATATGCAGTTGCACATTTTGGTACGCTATATTCAATACACATATTAGGTATTTGTTTCTAAAACATTTTTAAAAAGTTTAAAAAAACTGTTGTTCGTTGAATATTTGCATTCCTAGTTCTTAAGTTTTTAAGGTACATCTAGTTACATTTTATGAGCTACCTTATCATATATTTTTTTGTAATTTATTAATATAATCCAAAACATGTTTTACTTTTGTGCAATAAATTCTAAGAAAATATTTTTTCCGTGTTTTTTTAATTTATTTTGTGAGATGGGAAACATTAAACAAAATGTGTGACATTATTTTATGATGTTAGGCAAAGTAACCTTTGGCTATGGGAAACTTTGCTCCACATTTTAAACGAAGACGTTACCGATAAAACAGATGTTCAAGATGCCCTCCGTTTAAGCATTTTTTGTAGCGTTTACGAAGGTTCTTAATCATGTCTGTGAACGAAGGCTCTTAAATGATACGAAAAAAGTTTCGAATTTTAGTCCGCAATTCCAGTATGTCAGACGGTGGATCGGTACTAAAATCAGCTTCTTTCAGCATTCCCCATATGTACGCATCAGATGACGTTAGGTCTGGTCTGGCAAAAAGGCGATCCCCAAAATGATTGCGCAGCATTCGAAGAGACTCACTCGCCATATGACAAGTTGCCTCATCCTTATGAAACCATTGTTGATTAACTGGTAGGTTCCTGACACGACAAACTCGCTGAAGATCAAGTAAAAATGGCGTCATAATCTGTTCTCTGCAGCGCTCCTGATTAACAGTTAACGGCGTCCCATCGTTTGTTTCAATTGCAGTATTCACACACGTGTATTAAACACACGTGCGTAGTATTAGACTCTTACATGCTTATCAGCTACACTCAGACGCTGCTGTCCGGTCCCTATTTTGAATGCAAACCCACTTTATCAAGAACACGCCCAATGACGTGTAATATATAGACCCGGTGAACGCTTTAAAAAGTGTCCAAAACATGAATACCTTTGTTATTGTTTATTGTTTTGATACGTAGATGCACAAAGTTCATGATTTCTTACGAAGCCACCGAACAACGGTGACGAAGCATCATGAAGTTGATCTTGTGTTTGAAAACATCATGGACGTATGAAAACATTTTCTCCATTTTGTGTGTTTACATATTTTATGTGACAAGCAAATTTTATTTTAAATTGTTTGAGAGTTATTTACTTACTATTTTAGTAAAATGCCATACTATTTTATCAAAATAATTATTTCTCTTATAGACGGGAACAAAAAGAAATCATAAATATTTAATTTTAATTAAAAAAATAATTATTGTCATTAACATTTCAATGAGCACGCCGCTGTTCTGGTAAACATACCTTCAACCTTGAGCAGAGATCTTTCGGACACTCGATTATATAGCGAGAATAGGGGACCGCTTAGTCTATATATTATACGTCATTGAACACGCCCGTGATTGGTATTGGTTGTGACTGTCACTGGGCGACCCACACGATCTTTACGTTGTCAAAGCACACTTCACATACTAAGAAACTTGTCAACAGCTGCTAACATAACCCTATTACTCGATAAATGCGTTTAGAAAGAATAGTACTACACGATAAAAACTTTTTCTGTAACACTGAGAACCATCGTGAAGCACCTAGCATTAACACGACATTCACATACGTTATAACGACGTTTGGAAACCACTCAGTACGTTTCGGCGCATGGCACATACACATTTGATGCATAAATATTTCAGAATCGAACGGCGTTTGATACTATAGATCATCATAAAATGCTTCGAGCATTGGCTGACTGCCGCATTGACTACCGATATATCGCCTTGATCAAAAGTATTTACGAAACTGGTACAGCTTGTGTCCGCCTTCATGAAGATACCAAGAAATTTCGAATAGAACGTGGAATTAGACAGGGTGATACTATCTCCCCTAAATTGTTTACAGCTGTTCTTAAATATATGTTCAAGCAAGTGGAACGAGAGGATAATATGGGAATTAATATAAATGGGGAAGATCTGAACCACCCATGATTTTCCGATGACATCGTTTTAATATCTGATAGAGTTGATAAAGCTACAAAAATGCTGTACACGCTCTATAAAGTGTCAAAAACAATTGGTCTTAAAATTAACACTTCAAAGACAAAATTTATAACCAACCTTGTAGTCAGCAGCCAATTCTGATTGAGAGCCATAGCATCGACCAAGTAATAGCTTACAAATATCTAGGGCATGAGATTCGCTTAGGCCGAGATAATCAGACAACTAAAATACAAAGGATAGGTCTCACATGGACTGCCTTCGGTAGATTGAATAACATTTTCAAGTCTATTATCCCAATTTGTTTAAAAAGAAAGGTTTTTAACCAGTGTGTTTTACCGGTTCTTAAAAGAACAATATATAAAATAAGAGTTACACAACACGCTATGGAAAGATCAATATTAGGGATTACCATCAGAGATACAGTACCACAACTAGAAATAAGAAGAAGAACAGGAGTCACAGATGCAGTTGAAAAAATAGCCATGGCTAAATGGGCTTGGGCCGGGCATGTTGCCAGATTAACGGATGATAGATGGACCAGAAAGATTCTGGAATGGCGACCAAGACAAGAGACATATCGAAGCAGAGGACGACCACCGACTAGATGGACGGATGATATCAAGCACATCACCACAAACTGGATGCAAGAAGCTCAAGATAGAAATAGGTGGAAAATTTTACGGGGGGCTCGTTCAGCAGTGGACAAATATAGACTAATTGATGATGATGTCATTTCAGTACTGTTTATATTGCCACATACCATACAATGAAACTCTACCATATTTTTTATTACTGTTAAACAAACATATACCGAGCAACTAAATCCAAGAAAAAATAATTAGGGATTCAAAATGGCATCAAATAAATCGAAAAGACTTTGAGGACCTAGACAAAACACTTATGGATAGCAAGACATGCATAGACATGCTAGATATATTAAGAAATAAATGCTGAGACCATACAAAAGACGCAAAAATACAAAAAAAAAGACAATAAAGGCAGACTCTATGCGACTACGTAAAATAAATTGTGGAAAACTTGTAGCACGCAGCTCAGAAAACTGAAAATTAGAATAGATTGAGAGTCATATGTGCAGTCGTAGACAGGCTGAATAGATACAAAGATTTGACATAGTCGGCATCATAAAAAAAGTCTTTTTAGCTAAATGCACACCAATTATTTTAAAATTACTTACATTATTGTAATAAATACATAATAGTTTGTGCCATTATTAAAAGTTTAAACGTAATATTATTCAAATTGTTTTTAGTGTTTTATTTAACACGTACCATTTTACGTGACGATGACAAACTTATGCAATATTCAAATTAGAACTCATCATTAAATCGAGCACGTCCCAACATAGTTTATTAACAATGTCATTGCCAAGAGGGATTAAAATATTAATGATTACAAAGATTAAAAAACAACTGATGAGGCATAATTTGTTAAAAAGCACTTTTTTTTTAATTTACACAATTTGTAAATACAGTCCAAAAAAGGTGAAATGCAAGGCCTTTAATATAAAAAAAAATGAACCGTGATTTTCTTTATATTAAAGGCCTTTCTAAGTATTTTTGGAACCTTTGCAAAAAGCCCAATTATTGTTATAAAAAACAGTCGGTGCAACATATACTAAAAACGCAAAGATGGTCGTTGTCCTTATTTACAATTAAGTGATCTTTTTTTAATATATTGTTGGGAATAAATCATAAAATGAAAAATAAATTCGTTATATGTCGCTTCGAAATTCATATCAGAAGCCATTTGATTGCTGTTATGAATACTGCTTAGCCATGCCTTAAGTGGTTACTTTAGCCCTTCCTACGCCCCTGATCGAACATCAGTTCGTCGTTCGATGATCTGCGGCTGTCGAAATAATTCGACTGGGTTCTTGAAGCGATTCGAAAAGATAGGTCAACCATATATACACACACACATATATATATATATATATATATATATATATATATAATATATATATATTTAGCGATTATACATCGGTCAAACAAAAGTTGCTTGCTTGTAGGAATTGGTACAAAGGTTTCACGACCTTCCATAAATCTGGCACTGAATAAGCCTGGCACTCAAACTATCATGTAGAGTAGATTTTGAGTAAATGTTTCCTTGTTCAGCAGTTATGCTGCACAAATCTCAATGATTTTTAGAAAGAGTATAATAGAACGTTTTCGTGTAAATCTATATATTTTCGCGTGAAAATTTTAAATACAAAGTAACACAGTGAAAATAATTTTTTTACTTTGCAACAAAATACTTACCGACATTATAAAAAAATCCTTATGCAAAACGCTAACAACACCAAAATTGGTATATTTAAACACACTATCCATTATCCACATGATATTAGGCAAGACTTGCTTTCTCGGGTTGAAGCAAGAAAAGAGTAAAGGCACATCAGCTGTTGACTGGTGGTTTGCTATCACAAGTGTCCTGTCGTTCAGGCATGGGGCTATGTCATCTCCCAACTCCACGACTAAAAGATAGAAGATAATTACAGTTTGAAAGATTACCGATGATTGAAAAAATAAATAAGTAACACAAAATGATGTTTTGTATTATGTTTGGCACCAAAACAATATTTTTCATTAGTTATATTATCAAGGAACTGGTGTAAATTAGTTTACCTTACACAGAGTTTCTCACAATTAATTAATTAACTAAAGAATGACAAGTGACATCAAAAAAGTGTTTCGAGTTTAAATAACTAACCAAAAAGTTGCTGGAAGTTGGTGAAAAACTGTAAGAAAGAATAGATGATAGTCAGTTTGGGTTCAGAAACGGACTAGGAACCAGAGAAGCGTTATTTCGTTATTTGCTTTTAATGTGTTAGCTCCAAGATGTATGGATATGAATGTTGATGTGCACGTTTGTTACGTTGACTTTGAAAAAGCATTTGACAAAGTACGACATGAAAAATTAGTCCAAATTCTAAAGACAAAAAACATAGACCCTAGGGACTTACGAATAATAACAAACCTCTACTGGAATGAAAGAGCACAAATCGTAATAGATAACGAACCCAGTCCAGAAATTGAAATCAGAAGAGGAGTTAGGCGGGGATATATTATGTCCCCATTACTATTTGTTGTATATAGTGAAGCCATTTTTGAAGAAGCATCACTATCTCAAAGTGAAGAAATAATAATTAACGAAAGATATATTAACAACATAAGATCTGCAGATGACACCGTGATGAAGGCAAGCTCTGCTGAACAACTCCAATTAATGCTAAACAAAACAAACAGTTTCTGTGAAAAATATGTACTAAAAATGAATATAAAAAAAACCAAATACATGATAATAACAAAGAAAACAAATATACCAACAAACATAATTTAGAAAATGTACCGATAGAAAGTGTTGATAAATGAGGGGACAGCGATATGAACTGCTAAGGCTGATAGTACAGGGAAAGATAAGAGGAGCACAAAGGACCGGTTTAAATGCAGTTCTATAGAACTCTTCAAAGTAGCTGTAGATAAGGTAAAGATAGTGATGATGATATCCAACTTCCGATTGGGAGACGGCAGTTAAAGAAGAAGAAAAAGTTGCTCGTTTCGTTCTACAGTATATGTGAAATGACGTTCGAGTAAAATGAAGCTTACAACAAAGGAATAGATCTCTAGCTTACAACTTTATCCCTGATAATTCTAATTCATAAGTTCTGTATAGATCAATATCATACATAGGTTACCCTTCAGATAATACAGCCAGAATTTTAAATAGCATTCCTAACTGAAAATTGCGCTTCAAATGTAAAGAAAATATGAAACCTATTTTCTCACACACCAATGACAAAATTGACAAATTGTCGAAAAGTGGTATATATAAGATGTCATGTGGAAATTATTCAGTGACTGATGTTGGGAGAACAGTGAGACCATTGAAATATGGATACAAGAACACCTAACTATGATTGATCAATCTAGTTTTGGTCATCATATACACGAGACCAATCACACTTTTTGTCCCCAAAGAGATAATACGATCTTACATAACATACCTAGTAATAACTATAATGAAATAATTAACATTAAAAACATTAAAATTAAATTAAAAATTTCGATTGATCTAAAAAAGGGATTTACAGTGGAATAATGAAAGTACCTACAGTTTGGTGCTAACCGAGAATATCTATTTATAGAAGTATTTATGTAAATATTAAGGTTAGATTCGTCGAAACGTCAATGAAATGAAATATCGAGAAAATGGGTTCAGAAGTTTTTATCTGCTGGATCTAAGCTGCTTTGTGCTTAAGTCAGCCGCTGAGGTCGTCTAAACGCACACACTAACTGCTTAAGTACGCGAGTACGCTGCAGAGAGATCTATAGACGACCTCTCTTCTATAGCGAATTAGGTAAGCGGCAAATTCAAAGCTTCTTACTTAAGGCTACTGAACGATGCTAGGAATAACCTTTTACTTAGACACGCATCTACAGTTCATCCTTGAAAACACTATATCTTTACTCTTCACGTAGAAAAAAGACGTTAAAATGAAAGTAAAAATTGCATTTCATTTCGATTCGAATGCCGCAATTGCGAAAGTTCAAACCGAAATGATATTCAGTCTACTGTTTGGCCGTTATAGTAACTATAACTGCCTAAGTACGCTAGCAGCGACATCTATACGAAGTAACAAGAAGTCAAGAGACCTCTGTTCGATAGCGAATTGGGTGAAGCGCAAATTCGGAGCTTCTTACTATAGACTATTGAACGATGATAGAAATAACCTATTACTTCGACATGCATCTCTTTCACTATATACGTAGAGAAAAGACATTAAAATGAAAGTGAAAATTGCATATCGTTTCAATTCGATTAATATTTGTAACCTAAGTCATGAAGATGGTGGCATGTTACATGACGAAAGTACTCAGCTGATTTCAATAAAAATTTTTACATACTATCAAGTTTTTTGGGAACATACACCCGTTTCCAGTTTGACCTACATATTATTTTTGACAAATGAGAAGCGATATTAAAAAAGAGGTTTGCTCAGCAATAAAACAATCTATATTTATAGCGCCTTTTTTGGCTGCTCGTTTTGGATCTAGTGATTTTAAAATCTAATGTTACATCGATGTTAATGTTGATTGTTTTACAAACTTTTTACATTTGTTGAGGTGTTCTACAAAAAAATATGTATTACCGTTTGCATTCTTCTTCGGCCAGCTTCTGAATCCGTCGACGTTCACCCACGAATCAATAAATTTTTAGTCATACTTTTAAACTTTTCTTTTTAGGAGGGGTTTTATCAGAATCTGTATCATTGCTCATTGCCTTAAATGTTTTTTTCGAATAAATAAGGGAAATTATATTAAGAACTTTGACCCCTTGCTAAACGAATTGAGAAATGAACGAGAGAACCCGGCTTTACTTAACATTATTTTCCAAAGACTAGTAAACAACAGCTATCCTTGTTCCAATTATTAAACTACAAACTTGGCTATCCTGTTTTACGGTAGCGTAATGCAAAAGCATTGCACCAATAAACGGGGAATCCCATATATCGCAAGAGACCCGCCAGTGACGCTATTGGTGAAATTGATGATACCAATTGTAAAAAGGCGCGTGACCTAGGCATACAAAAACTATATTTTTTGCTTTTCCTAAAAGGTTAGTTTGTTTGATAAAACAATGTAAATGTAAGTTTGACACGTTGGTTGTGAACTATTGCGATTTGGAATTAATTATTTTTTACGCAGTTCAAAATTTGGCTACATCACCAAACGTTAGTAGAAATATTAACTAAAACGGAATTCAGGGATGTCAATGGCGAAAAAACTAATTTACTGTTAAAAAACAATAGGGTTGGCAACCGTGCCTACAAAACGAATCAGTTTGGTAGCCCCGTCTAAAGGTCGATTCAGACACATCAGTCACGTCTCGTCACAGTCCTGGCGCCGAACCGAACAATCCGTCATACAAAATATTCCTTAATAGAAATATGGCACCGGCATTCACATTCATCAGGCGACGAACAGTTTCCCAGCTGTCAGATAATTAATAGTTCTGTGACCAAACAGGACCGGTTCGGCGCCGAGACTGTGACGGGACTGATGTGTCTGAATCGACCTTTATGTGTAAAATCGTCAGGCCTCTTAAAATATGTGTATTTTGACAATAAAATTATTTTTAAATAACTAAAAAAATTGTGGTACTTAAATTTACGTTATTTCTACATTAATTATAGAAACCCCAATAAAGCCACAATAATATATTTGAACTTAACTTTTAAACCGGAAGTATAAATCATTTGCAAAAAGTAACAAATATTTCGCCATTGTGAACTACACGCAAATAAAAGATTTACAAACGTTTTCTCACGGCTATTAAACTAGTGGAGTCGTTTTCACGGATTAAAAATTTAAGTACCAACTAAAGTAGTTTTCCTTCTCCACCTCACTTTAGTAAACAGAGAATCATTCCAATTTACCTAATATACTACACAAAAGCTATATACCTTGACCATATCCGCCGCATCCACCAAAAATAAAATTGTGTAAAATGTTTCAAGATTTATTTCACCCTTTCATTATAGATTTCATTGTATCTAAATAACACTGTTAAAAATGGCTTTAATGATATTAGTTGATACCTAGAAACCTAACAAAGTGATCAATTTTTCACATTGTTGCGTGTTCTTGTATATACATATGTCCCATTAGTGTTAAGTGGTGGGATAAATAAATCATATCCGTAAAGAAACAAACTTATAATCAAAATAAAAAAAAAGTAAATTACACAAAAAACATTACTTTTTATAAATAATGTGGTAAAAAACTATAAGACCTATGTCTTCTTAGTCACCTATGCAAACTCCTTACAATAATAGTAACGAATCGTTTCAAGAAATAACTTGATTTCTACCAGTCACTAGAGCAAGCAAGATTTCGTACCGGATTTGGAACAAATGATCACCTACAGAGCATAAAAACGGTAATAGAAAAAAGTATCGAATACAATCGACCACTCGTTCTGGCTTTTGTAGATTTCGATAAAGCCTTTGACATGGCAGAATTTGACAAAATCCTGGAAGCAATACAAGCATGCCGCATTGACTACCGATATACAAGGTTAATTTACAATACATACAAGAACACAATTATGTCGGTGAAACTGCATAAAAGCACGGATCATATCTCAATCGGCAGAGGAGTCCGACAGGATGATACCTTATCTCCTAAACTGTTTACTGCAGTAGTAGAATCTGCTTGTAAAAAACTTAACTGGGAAGAAAAAGGCCTGAACATTGACGGTAGAAGATTAACAAATTTGAAATTAGCAGACGACATAGTTTTGTTCTCGGACAACCTCAAGGAGGTATGTACAATGCTACATAAACTTCAGTTAGTATGTGCCAGTGTGGGTCTTAAAATAAACATCTCCAAAACAAAATTCATGACAAACCAGTACCTAGCGAAAAAACTGTTTTAAAGAGCTTTGGCATTGATTCATACATATTAAAATTTC